GTCTCTGTTCATTCCACTTTTTTCTTACTATTTGAATGTGTTCTTAATTATCTCGGTCTTCCTGTTACTGTATATAACTTCGGTCTTCTGTTACTTTCTTCTTCGTCTTGTTCGGCGCTTCTATTGATTTGATGTTTGAGTTTATAGCATTTTTCATTTAACTTCTCAAAAAGTATGTAGTAATATATATATTGCTTTATGTCAACTCATACTTTTTTAAGTTTATCAAGTCATTTCACGCATCTCTCATATCACTTTTTCCTTTTTCTCTCTGTGATTTCAGTCAAAGACCGAGTCCCAGCTGATTCAACAGTTCTTTTTTGAATATCTGTGAAAAGTTCCGCCGTTAGCTGGACCGGCAACAGTGAATCGGCTCTTCGTGTGTTGTCTCTCTCCTGAAACTTCCTTCCGTCACTTGGAGTCGAAACATTCATCTGAAAATTTTTGCGAGTTTGCGTCTTTGGGAGGCCGGAGCATATAATATATTTGTTGATTCGGTTTCATAATGACCTCTCAATCATTGAAACGGCGAAGCAGAATCGGTTTGACCTCCGCCGTGTTCGTGTTCTTTCTTCTCTTAATCATTGGACCGGAGTTTTTTACAGGTGTGTATGCATTGTATTTACGATGAGAAATTGTTTATCTGAAAAATCACATGCTGTGCACAGCTGTGGGAGAAAGAGAGAGAAGAAGAAGATAGTTATGTATGGTGTCGGTTTTCAATGAATGAGATTGCATTTATTTGTTAGGTCTGCTTGTTCTATGGTTTATTATTTGCACACGAGGATCTTTCCATTATTTATTTGATTAGTTAGCTTTTTCATCCCCTTTTTAACTACAAAACTGTGTACATTAAATTCTGTAGACGGCTACAGCTTTTGATTTTCATCCATCCATAGATTTTTTTCTTTAATGCTTCATAAATCGACTTTGATTTCAGGCAGACTTATTGGTCCCAATTTCATGGCGGAAGCAAATTCAGCCGTCACTGGAAACACCAATGTTGGTCCTCATCGCAAGCTTCTTAATCAAGGTTAGTCCAAAAAAAATTCAGTTGTATAACTCGACAAAGAAAAACGATTTGAAATTTAATTTTGCTCTACGAAATCCCCCTTTTTTGCTTTAAGGTACGGCCCTGGACAGCCCAGCAGCAGGCAGGCAGCGTTCTGTTTACTGTACAATTTTTTGCTTTGTAGGTAGCGCACGTCAGTTTTTGTTTTCTCATGTCTATTGGTCATATACTCACAATACAAATATTAGTCATAGTAACCCATAAGTTGAGGAAAAGGTTTAAACTAATTGAAAGGGCAAAAAGAAGAAGAGGACAAAATATATAAATGCATATTTACTCGTTTGCTTTATTAGTTTCTGCTCTGGTTACATTGTATTACTTTTGCATGCATTTTTCATAATCTGGGAAACTGCTACTGCAACTTCAGTATTTTTCTATTTTTCTGCTTATAAGTCTATGTCTCGTGCCAGATATGTAATATCACTTTCCAAACAATTCTTTTGACTTTAGAAAGTTGAAACAATTCTATCAGTCTGCATTTGTTTTATCTAATAAACAGAAAAGAGTAAAATAAAATTGTAGCTAGTGTTTCCAATTTGTGTGGTATTAAAAGAATATTTGGCATCTCTTGTCTTCTATCACTGCTCTACACATATGGTGTATTTGCTCTGTGTTTCACGTGCACATTGCTGTCCTCCCATTAAAGATACTTGAAGGAAACATAATTTAAACGTCCCAATTCCCTATATCAGCATTTCTGATTGTTCCGTCCCTTTCGATTTAGGCCAAAATAGTCTTGATTATCTTTAGCTATTGTAATAGATAACATTACCTTATTTTTCAAGTCTCTTATTTGAAAAGGCATATACATGTAGATGACCATTTAAAGAATATTTAATCCATGTCCTATAACTTGAACTCATACCAGCAATATTATTTATTGCACCCATCAATGCTCAAGTTACAGGGTCAAACCCGACCCAACATTTGATAGGAAAAAAGGAAACAAGCAACTACTTGGAAAAGGACCAAGGATAGGTCTACTATTGCTGTTTGAATATTTTGGTTACTTTTTGACATTATGTGCAATTGCTTTTTGGTGCACAGGGAATGAAGTGGAAACAAACCGGATATGGGGTGACAAATGTTCAAAATCTGATATTGTGATAAATCAGGGACCTACAGCACCTCTACCCAGTGGGATACCCACGTACACAGTGGAGATAATGAACGTCTGTGTCTCTGGCTGTGACATCTCCGGCATCCATCTCAGCTGTGGTTGGTTCAGCTCTGCTCGCCTTATTAACCCTCGCATATTCAAGCGCCTACATTTTGATGATTGTCTCGTCAACGATGGGAAGCCTCTTATTAATGGTCATACTATATCCTTCCAATATGCCAACACTTTCCGTTACCCACTCTCTGTTTCCTCTGTTGTCTGCTGAAGGGTCTAATAGCATACACTTAACACTAGTTAAAAAAAACACTTAAAACAACAATGATTTAATAGCGCTAGATAGCCTTTAGGGGAAAAACATTTCCAGTAGCTCTTTTTTCTTTTGGGCTTTTATAGATTGAGAACACCGCCTAGCTCCTCCTTGATTTGTCTCTTTTACTTTGCGTCTATTAGGAAGGACGTGGAGATGCAGACTAATGGATGAGTGTTTGCTGCCGAAGTAATTCTAGAGATCTTGTTTTGAAGGGTCTGACTTTTTGTTCATATCAGAGTGACTTGACTGAGGGAAAAAAGCTAAATGCAGCTGTAATTTTTGGGTTTTGAATATAAAGTATACAACTCTTCTTGAGTGTTTCTCTTTATTTGCATCAGTTGTACATGCTCAGAATGATTGTTGTTGAATCTCGTTTCGTGTTCTTTGACAACACCTAATTACAATGGATTTTGACGAAGTCAATTATTCATTTAAAAAGTCTTAATATTGACCTGTCACTTATTTCATTGTTGATCAACTTGGCATTTCGAAAATTCCCAAACTATAGATTTGGGTCAGTGGCAACTTTTAAATATTCCAACATAAGAATTATCATATTGTTCAAACTTATTTCGTAGCTTCTTCTAGAAAATTTTAGAAAACATCGTCGTCCTAACGTTGGATCACTGTTAAACTTCAAAAAATGTGAAAAGAAAAATTGGTCTCATTCGAACTGGAGTACAAGAAACGATTTACATCTAACAAGTATTTCGAGGCTTATAGACGAATTGATGAACAAACCAAAAATTAAAGCTACGGTTTTCAACTATTTAGAAGAATGTTCATCTATATCTATCTATCTATCTCTATTACATTAAAAGCATGAACTCCTAACTTGAATGTTAAACCTAACTTAGGTTGTGATTTTTTCGATGAGTTGTGACTTTTCCGATAAGTTGAGACTTTTTTCAGAAGGTTGTAATTTTTTGATGAGTTGTGACTTTTTCAATAAGTGGTGACTTTTCCAAAGGTTGTGACATGTTGGAAAGGTCATGACTTTTCAGATAAGATACATAAAACACTTGTTCATACTACCCTTTGTTGACTATAAATAGAGGGACTTTTTCTCATTTTTCAACCATAATTTTTTTTAATCTTCTTCTTGCATTTTAATTTTTTTGTGTGATTTTTTGTCGTTCAGTGAGGTCGAAGTCTAGCGGAATATGAGGTACCACTATTCTGATAAAGTAAATCGTTCTATCCTAAGAGGGTATATTCCATAACCTTGAGTACTTGAGGAAAATAATTTTGATGATACAATAATTATTTTTTTGCTTAATATATACATTAGTATGTAATCTTCTAATATATGAAGTTAACATGATGTAATGTAAATTCATTTGTTTTTGTTAACAATTTCTCTTGTAATGTAGATATGCTTATGAATATATTTTTCCAAAATTTAGAGAATTGTCAAGATTTATTTTTTAATGCTCAAGACAAAAGAATAACTTTATTTATCAATGATACTTGTGTGATTTAAATTGTCATGAAGTTTGCTTCAAAATATGTATTTACTATATAAACATTGCCCTTTTGTTTTACTTATTTACTATTTCAATATTTTAGACGAAAAAAAGTCTATATGACTTGTAATAACGTCAGTTGAAGTTTGTATTAGTTTAATTTTTATTATCTATTTAATATAGCTAACTTTTATGAGAAAAATATTTTCATTAATGCTAAACTTATTATTCAAATACTCGCTTAAATAAGCAAATACTATTTACTACTATAACATATATTTTCTGAATTAATAATTACGGAGAGTATAAAACATATTTTCTGAATTGGTAATCACGTTCAGCGCACGTGTCAAAAAACTAGTTACTACAAATTTCGAAGTTCTCTTTTAAGTTGAAAAAATTGATAAATGCCGCTTTCTCTGCGTAATTTCAAATCAGTTTAAGTAAAGAATAGGTACTAATACCAACCAAGATTGTGGTAGGAATGGTAAATACTCTTTCATCCTTAACCAAGAGGTTTTGGGTTTGAGTCGCCTTTTGGGTACGGAGTGTTTTACCCCAATGGAAGAAATCCTATTGCGAATTCAAATTTAGTCCGGCTACTGTGGTAGCGAACACCGGGTGGTGGGAAACAAAAAACCAAAAAAAACAGGTACCAACGGTTACGGACAAAAGAATGTTACCTAATTGATCATAAACACTGGACATCCAGCACACAACTACAACATCCAAAAAGAAAGTAAATTTACATCACAAAGAAACAATTGCAATCTTTTGAACAGGACAAACAAATGGGTAACCCTACAACATGAATTTCTTCCTCCTAAAATAACACAAATTACTTTAAAACTAGGATTGAAGTACACTTATTTAATTCTCGAAAAAAGCAAAAGTGACTATTCAAGTAAAAGGTCGAAGAATATAGAACTTTGTCCGATTCAACAACATTATTTTATCCTAAAATTCATCAAAGAAGAAACGACAGCGATGGGCAGGATAGGTCAGGGACTTGTGCAGCAATTACTAGTAAAATATCACAGCAAAGATATTGAAATTATCACTGCAAAGTTGTTGGATAAAAATAAAGAATGTCACCAGCATCTCCATCAAATTAGAAATTAGAGGGCAATAAGTCTTGCCATTTTCTAGAATATTTACAAAACAGTGGCACATCTTCCTGAGAAAAAAATTGGCATTGATATTTCTCCTAACCTTGCAAGGCAACAGAAAATGTCAATTCTAGCACACCTCAAAGCTAAGAAGAGGGGAGAGGCTTCAGGTTCTAAAGATAATAGGGAATCGAGGTTCACTCTAAACCACCCTACTAGGCAAGACAACCGAAACTTGGAGAAGAAATGAGCAATGCCTGTGTGCCCGGAGCTCAAGAGCAGTGGAAACACAATTAGGTTAAAACCACTGCACCAAAATAACGTTCCTACGGATTTTGGTGCTATGGCTCACTCATAATATATACAGCATGGACAACCAAGAGAGACTGTGAGTTCCTTAGATGATTTAAACTACCTATGATTGACAGACCTTGTCTTCTCCAGAACCTGCACCTTGTCAAGAAGCTCTTGTATAGTATTTGATGCATCCTGAAATCGAGTCAAGAAAATCAATTGACTATTCACTTCCTAAAGGGAAGGTTGCAAAAAATTGAGTAAAGAAGTTCACCTTCAACTTCTTTCTCAAGTTCTCCTCCTCCATATCACGGCGTTGTCTCTCCTCCGTGAATATGTCTATTAAACTTTCTTGCTCCTTGTTAAGTTCCTCTATTTTTCTAGTCGACTCCTGCAGCTGAACATGGAGCAGAAGTATTTCAGTTTCTTTAAAGAACCCATCAAAATCTAGTCTAACAGAGTTTCACCATTACTATTACAAAAATAAACTGTAGATAGATTCAATAGCAGGAACCACAGAAAGGTCCAAGGACCTTGAGGTCATGTTTTCGGTTACCAGAATGAAGAAAAAGGAACATGAACAAGTAGTACTTCATATCCACCTATAAAGGTTTCATGCACAGAAATGCGGCTAGATTGGGGAACAGTAAACATCAAAATCTCATCTAACCTGAGCTTCAAGTGATTTGGATCTCTCTCTTTCAAGTTGTAAATCACGTAACAAATCACCTAAAATCTCTTCCTCTTTCCTCCGCAACCTGTTGAATAAATAAACATTTTGATAGCTCATATGAACCTAAAATGCTACAAAATAGCTTAACAATAATGCAAAGGTTGCAGAGCAAGCACCTTTCTTTAAGCTCACGATTCTCTGCTTTTAACTGCTCTAGAGACTCCGTGAGGTTATCTGGCAGCATGCCCTCATTCTCATCAGCATCTCCCTATTGGGCCAAACAACAAATTTATCAATTCCACTATCTGTTCCAACTCTCCATGAAATAAATTCTATTGAAGAGCAATTTTCCCCAATGAGAACCTTCAAAAGTTGATGAGCGCAATTAGGTGCGCAAAATTTTGGGCCATACCAACCCCCCTCCCTACCCAAAAAAGCACTGACTGTGTTCAGTGAGAGTCCATGGTAATGAATGTTAGAATCTCCTGTAGCTTCAAAATTTTCATCAAGACATATATGAATATACCTTCAAAAAGAGCATACTGGCTACAAGTGCAGCAATTTAACATGATACTCTGGCATATATCACTAATTGGAGATATTCTATTATTAAGGATCCTAACCCTTTCCTAAAAATAAGACATCCAGAAGAAGATTTGGAGGTTAAAGGGCACATAGATCTGAAATAACCTTTGATCTTGAACTTCTAGTAACTCGCTTGAGGCTTCCACCAGGAGAACATACTTGCTCAGCAACTCTTTGTCCAAAGCCTGGCGGTGAATGCATAACCCGAGAGCCATCTTTTCCATTAGTATGCTTCTGATGTCCACCTGGTTGATAGCCATCTTTTCCATTAGTATGCTTCTGATGTCCACCTGGTTGATAGCCATCTTTTCCATTAGTATGCTTCTGATGTCCACCTGGTTGATAGCCATCTTTTCCATTAGTATGCTTCTGATGTCCACCTGGTTGATAGCCATCTTTTCCATTAGTATGCTTCTGATGTCCACCTGGTTGATAGCCATCTTTTCCATTAGTATGCTTCTGATGTCCACCTGGTTGATAGCCATCTTTTCCATTAGTATGCTTCTGATGTCCACCTGGTTGATAGCCATCTTTTCCATTAGTATGCTTCTGATGTCCACCTGGTTGATAGCCATCTTTTCCATTAGTATGCTTCTGATGTCCACCTGGTTGATAGCCATCTTTTCCATTAGTATGCTTCTGATGTCCACCTGGTTGATAGCCATCTTTTCCATTAGTATGCTTCTGATGTCCACCTGGTTGATAGCCATCTTTTCCATTAGTATGCTTCTGATGTCCACCTGGTTGATAGCCATCTTTTCCATTAGTATGCTTCTGATGTCCACCTGGTTGATTCTTTGGAAGGACAACTTGGACACTATCATCGCTGTCATCTTCGGCAGAAGTTGATGGCTCCAAAGAACTTGGTATGTTTCTAGATCTTCTGGTTTTGCCATCATGCTTGCCATTAAGGTGCCCAACACCATTGCTCTTCTCAGATGACTTTCCGGAACTATTATGTTTCGATTGAGATGCTGAAGGAAGATAATCAGGAGAATTCTCTGTTGAAAAACATAATTATGTACTTATCAATTATAATAAGAAACAAGATATAATCAGAAGGCAAGATCACCTTCTTGAGCTGAGTTATTAAAAAAATAAACAAATCAAGAAAAAACAAAAAACCTTAATAACAAACGTAATATCTTCTTTGAAAATAGAGATTAATGTGAAATATATGAAGTTGTGAACACAAGTCCCCAGACAAAGAGTCAAACCTTACTAAAGGTTGTGTAAAGCATTGATGAAGGATAAAAAAATAAGATAAAAAAAGAAAACCTAGGATACCTCGTGCAATAGCTTTCCTATTCCGCCTAGGAGCATACCCAATTTTGTGACAAAGAGTTGACCTGGAAAAGAAATTAGGAGTACACTAAGTACATGTAACTCTGGAAAAGCACAACACGGAGATGAAACAGAACACACCAGTAAGTTTTCTGCATCTGCACTAATCGTGCTTCAAGTCTTGAAAGAACTGTCGTACGCTCAAACCCTTGCTTGTCATGTGCTGGTTCAACAAAATTGGCTTCCAATACACCTGGCATCAAATAATGCAAAACAATAAGCACTTTAAACAGGCAAGCTATAAAAGAATGACTTTTAAGATAAAAGAGCAGACCTATAACTCCACGCCCGTCACTTCCAGGAGCATGCCAAAGCCTCCAAAATGGCTGACAACAGAAGGAAACTTTAGTACAGATCACTAGATCACAAAATGGAGAATGTTCTGCCATGCAAAGGCTCCAAACTATGCATCTCTTACTGACAATAGGGAAAGTCTACATAAACTCACATACACCATATGTTAACAAAGTTGGGAGTATAAGGATGAGAAAATTGTTCTTTTTCGGATTAGCAGATGGCAGATTAGGGAGAACAACAAAATTATTTCACTGCAGGATAAGGTAAAATATCTAGCGCATGTCTCATTACCATGTTTTTTCGCTAATATGGTTCATTACTCTAGTTTTCAGGGTAATCTTTATAATACAGATACAAAATGTTGCCTTCTCAAACAAAAGAAAAAAGAAAGGTGCATGTCTCATAAAAATAGATCTGATATACAAATCCCCTAGTACACAAAGGTACTAGGGAAAGCATTCCACCACATAATCAAGAAGGTATCAGCAACCTACAGCGATCATCACTGTTTACTAAAACAATTGCACTTCAGAAAAAAGACAAACCTTAATAAGTCTATTTTTGTGATAGACATTAAACCCTTGAACATCAATATGGGATTTAGCATCCTTTACAAACCCAATTTTCACAGTAGCCACCATCTACAAGCATCAAAATGAAAATGAATGAGAAAAAGATTCATCACTGAAAGAAAATCCAAATCAAGTTTGCCTTCAAAGACATTACATTGGAATCTTTGGGTACTCCATCCGCACCAGGCATAGGGCGATACGTGACCTCTTGGGTCATCATCATATCATTTACTATGTTATGGTGCTCAACATCTTTACCCCGCAGAATAATCCGAAAGCCAGGAGCAACTCTTAGGTATAGAATTGATGCATAGCTCTGAAAATCCAAGAATACACGTGATAAAAACGAAATTACTTTCTAAGAAGAAGAATCATATACGTATTTTGTGAATATAACAAACATCACACGCACGTAGCACTAGAGAAAAGACAGAGCTACAGGAATTCCAATCAAAGTCTATGCAAAACCATGTATTGAACTGAAACCAAGCAAGGGCTAAAGAAAGAGTAGGTACATAAGCAAAGAATAGTACAACATACCCATGGTAGTCCCACAATGTGGGGTATGTGGAGCGTAGAGCAGTGGCGGAGCCAGAATTTCGACTAAGGGGTGTCAACATATAAGGAAGTAAAATCGTGTAGAAGCCAAGGAGTGTCAATATGTGATTTATGTACATACAAAAATATTTTTACCAAGCTACACAGTATAATTTTCTAACAAAGGGGTGTCGGTTGACACCCCTCAAGTATATGTTGTTCCGCCACTGGCGTAGAGTGTAAGCAGACCTTAACTCTACCTCAGAGGTAGGGAGGCTGTTGTTGCCAATAGACCCTCAGCTCACATAGGCGAAGAATAGAAGAGGAAACAAATCAGCTATTCAAAATCAAATAGGCTAGTTAACTAATCAGAACACAGTAATATTAACACAAAAATACACCCTTATTTTAGTATTATCTCTGTTGTTTCAACATCTTCATAATTGTAAAGATGGTAACATTCCTGTTGAGCTTTAGAAGCAAAATATCAAACAAAGAAAAAAAATATTCAGACATTCACACCTCTTAAGTGGATTGTATCATGTTCTCACACTTTGCCAACACTATTACAGTGGAGAAAAGATGGAAGAAGAGAATAAAAACAATATACATTTATGACCAGGTTGTCTCAGAATTCTCTGAATCAAGCATTTAATAACCAAGTCAGCTCCAAAACTTGTCTTCCCTTTCACAACATACGGGAAAGTTGTTGACAAAGACCTCTATGTACATTTTGCAACTGATCCTCATAGGAAAAGGCCCAATTAGGAAATAGACCAAATTCATTTAAACTATGCATTACATAAATTAAGAGAAACTGATTCATTTCACTCCAATTTCATCACATAATTCCAATAAATCAATTCATCAAGCAACTCGTATCTCTTGGCTAAAACACTATTCAGATAATCTGAAAATTCTACAAGTGTAACTAGAGCATATTTTGCTGGTTAAGAATTACATCTCTCTTATTCTGATGGGCAAATAAAATTAAGTACTTGCACTTAATCTCAAAACATGAAAATAATTGGTCAACGTTCTACTAAGAGTATACAACAACAAACCCAGTGTAATCCCACAGATGAGTCTGGAGGAGGGTAGAGTGTACGTACACCTTACCCTTACATTGAAAAGGAGGCTGTTTCTGGTTGTATGAACGATGAAAAGGAGGCAGCAGCAACAAGCAGAGCTCTACCAAGGAATATACAAGGAAAAAATTGATCTACAACTACTTATGATCAAATGTTAGGATGATGAACTTGCAACCAAGACGCACTTGGAATGCTTAGGATTGACGATAGTCGCTAGCTGCTCTTGATGTAGATCAATATGGGCAAAGGCAAATACCCACTTGATAACTACAACTGCTCCTTGGTTCCAGAAGCATATAAACCTCCACAATCCAAGCAGGGACTTAGAACTGCTGCAAATAAAACCTATATTTTTTTTTGGGAAAATACTTATCCAACTAGCCTGCGACATTTTTTAGTTAGAGATAAATTTAAGTGCCCTTCATTTGGATTTAAGAGTCGAGGAACTAATCAATTTCATCACAGAACCTCCACAGTAACATGAAATCCAAATAACCTGGTGACGTGTAACAAAAATGCTCCCACTAAACATGGCAGAACAATTATTACTTACCCTTAGTGAATGTCTATATGTCAAGAAATGCCGGGAGTTCGGATACTGTTTGGCCATCTGTATGCTCCTCTCATCACGGTTGACTCCTCTTATTTGAATATCCTGAAGGAGAGAATGAAAGAAGCATGTCACTCGAAAACCACGAATCATGTAGCAGCACGTTAAGTAAAGCAGAAAAACAAGTAACAAGTAAAGAATATTAAAGGGTTTGGTTACATGTGGATCAGCATCAAAATCTAGCTCGAGTAGTCCTTGGTCATCCTCCCACAAATTGTACACTATAATCCGAGTGCCTTGACCTTTCATCGGATTAAACTGCAGCATGTATAGAAAAAATAGAATGATTAGCAGATACACCACATCCAAAACTGAACGACGGAGTAACATAGAAACAAAATTGACAAGGCAATATCATGTCAACCCAAGTATTGAACTTTATAAGTGTGTGCCAAAAGGGTTCATTAATTTCAACCTCGACAGGCCATGGACTGGAAACAGGAGCTACAATGGGCACATGCTCAAGGTAAGAATACGATTGCTGAAGTTCATTGAATACTGAATAGTGCTGGCTGGAAGCATATACCATATATGACAGGAGAGGAATACACAGAAAAGCTTCACACTAGGGTTGCACACTGGCTGGGCCAAGGTTAACAATGGAGAGCTAGATTTTTTAAGCTAAATTTGAAGTTATGAGAGCTGAATTAAATTTGGGGGTGAGTATATGTTCTATTTAATACTGCAATCAGGATTCAGGGTTACACACCCTTCAGCAAATCTTTCCATCTGTATCTTCATGATAGTTTAACAATCCTGGAAGGAATTAAAATACTACTACATTTTTGGGGGGTCGTAGGAGGGGGAATGATTTTGAAAATTTACCTGTCTAAGAAGATCAACTTCACTTGAAAAAGGGGACCACTCAACTATGGTCTCAAGATTTTTATCCCAGTCACCAGGAGATGATCGTATTATCTTGTCCCACCCTTCTCTTTTTTCGTAGTCAAGCTGTCACAATAGCAAGAAAACAAACATCAATATAAGAGCTTGTGAACACATCTAAAGTCACTAATATCCAAGAAAGTTCTAAAATATCATTCTCATGAAGGGAATAAGTGATCCCTCTTTCCTAGGACTTATCAATATAAGTCTAGAGATGAAATGCAAGAACCACTATCAAGGGAAAAAGTAAAATCAGGACACCATTAGCAAGGCCAGAAACATGTTTATCAGGTTTTCTTAAAAAGCTGTAGCTTAGAGATAAGATAACACAGGCAAAGATGGGAGGAAGAGCGCAAACACTAGTACAAAATCTCCACAAGCAACATTAAGTCCTGATACAGCACACAGCTTGAACAAAATGGAAGGTAGAATGCACATTTGTACAAAGTTTACACCAACAACTGAACTCCATACAAAGCACAGAGTTTGTTTACTTCATTTAGATATCTAACACGAGAATAGGGGCAAAGAGTTGATTAATTGGGTTTCTAATTAGTGAATCGTAATAGAAGCATTTCAAGATGCACTTTACCTCAGATAGGGACACTGGATCCTCATTTTCACCATAAGATCACAACAACTATGAATTAAAAACTATGGAAATTTGAAATAATTCAGCATGCCTACCATGGGAACAATGATGTCTTCCATTCCTTTGTTTCGCAAGAATGTGTAGGACAGCAATCCAATGCTCTGTGTGGGGCTGAAATCAAAAGAAAATACAGGGTAAATCATAAGTAGCAGTATCCAACCACCACAAGAATAAAGAGAGAGAAATGAGGGTCGAAAGAAGATGGCTTTGAGGTGTGTAATCACTTTCTTTAAAGAGATATTGCCCATATACATATTGGGGAAAATACAAACAAATCCCTTCAGGATACAACAAAGCCCTTTGTTTATACATGCAGATTTTTCTTAGGCTACTTCTAGTCTAGAGAGTCTATATATTATAGAACTTAAGGGATGACTCTTCATAAGAGTCATGTTCTTTCATGAACTTTTCATAAGATTCATGTTCTTTCATGAACAAATAACTTTTCATAACAATCATGTTCTTTCATGAACATATGTGTGTTCAATTTAAAACCTCTATATATTACAAAACATCCAACAATCAAATAATCACAAATACAAGAGTGGAAGACTGCACAAGAGCCTGAGGAAGTTGAGATCAGATGTCACTAACTTCCAGAAATAAAAGGGAAACTTAGGAAGGAATCTACGGTGCAAGGAACCAACCGTAAGGCCTTGCACTCGTAACTCACATGCCATTCTCATGGATACAACAAACATGTGTTACACGGTCTCCATTTTCCTCAAATGTACCCCACGACAAGGGATGGCTACTTCATGCATAAGCTTTCAACACACTCCGAAGTTGCTAAAAATTGAATGTACCCACACAGGATATTTGATTGCACAAAGTTTCATGCTAAGTTGCGGACTCTTCACTTTTGATGCCGCACACGTGTTGGATTCTCCAAAAATACACTACTTTTGGCATGGCAAATCCGACACGCACCCCTTAGACATTTTTGAAGAGTTTGTGCAACATAGGTTTCATGTGACTTGATTGGAAATTAGGCACCAGACATCGGGTTACCAGTTTAGACACCTGGATTCCCAGGTATCATTGGTCTTAACATAAGAGCTAGCTTTAAGCATATGGAAGTGCTATGCTAGCGCTAGGAAAATGTCCCATATCATACAACTCCAGCCACAAACTACTTCCCCAATAAACCCAAGCGTTTCCCCAGTTGACAAAATATACTTAAGCAGACCAAAGAAAAATCACTCTCTCAATGACATGAAACTAGAAATCAACCAGATCAGACCCAAGTTTGCAATGAGCACATGCATAACCTTCGGGATCCAGTCCCATGTTTTTTTTTCCTTTTCCTTTGACAAGAACTGTGAAAGTGATCTGCAACAAATATTTTGAGCAACCACCTTTTGGAATTGGCAACCAGCTAACTAATACAGGGAACAAAAAATGAACTTGCATGTCATTGATGATGCAAGCAAAGGGTACACCAGCCCTATAAATAGATGCCAGTTTCCCCTCATTTATCCATCCAAGCAACACAAGGAAAGACACAATACATCAGTTGCATAGAGAAAATCACTGACAGTACAAGGAAATAGTCTAGGAGGAAAAAATAGAGTGTGAGCGAGACTGTAATAAGGTAAGAAAATCAAAAGAGGATTCTGTCCTTGAGAGTGTATAGTGTTTTGAGTATTTTACTCGAGACTACAAAGGTAAAAATCCTTGCTATAGTGAAATCAATCTCTCCTCTCTAGTCGTGGTTTTCCCTTTAGTTTAAAAGGGTATCCATGCACAAATTCTCGTGTCCTTGTTACTCAGTGTATTATCGTTGATTACCATATCGAGCCCATACAATTTTTTATCCCCACCTTTTGCCCTCAAACTCTTCATACAAGTGCTTCAATCCTATCATTTTAGCCGTCGTAACCGTGAGCTGAGTTTCCTTCTTCATCGCCTTATACTTCTCCCTATTCTTCCGTTTGTCCTCTTGATCTGTGCTTTCCACTAATGTTGCATAAGCAGCCTTTGTGGCTTCCACATCTCCTTGAACCTTCCCATTCCACCACCGTAAACCTCAACCCCCTCCCTCAAGTTGCTTCCCTGATGCATCCACTTACTTACAGTATACCCGCTGCTTCCTCACCCCCACCCCAATAGCCACCTCTCCCACAACTCCTGAGCTTTGGCCTTTGTCAAGCGTCCCCCATTTAATCTTAGGTTGGTCATAGAAGGTTCTCTTCGTCCTCTTGATATCCAAATCTACAACTATGAGCTTATGTTGGGTTGTAAGATCCTCGCTCCAGATAACCTTGCAGTCTTTACAAGGACCTCTACCTCCCACTAAGGAGTAGGTAATCCATAAAGGTCCTAGAAACCGTACTATGGCCTCTCACCACCTCAACCAACTCCTCCCACATCATCAAACTGATATATAAATACATGGAAGAAAAAAAAATGAACTTGCTAATGGCATTGATGATGCAAGAAAGGGGTATACTAACCCTATAAATAGGGGCATTCTTCCCTCATTTGTTCATCAAAGATACACAAAGAAAGAGAAGCAATACATAACTTGTAGAGCGAAAGTCACTAATAGTAGGAGAAAAAAAATTGTGATTGATATTATAGTAAGGTGGAAAAGTCAATAGGTTTCTTTCTTTTGAATGTATAGTAGTCTTCAAGCATTTTACTCAAGACTGCAAAGTGTAACAATCTTTGTTATATTGAAATCAATTGGTCCTCTAGAGCGGTGGTTTTTCCCTTAATTTAAGGGGGCTTCCGCATAAAATTCTCGATGTCCTCGTTTCGCATTTTATTATGGTGCGACGTGTCTATTGCAGTTATAAATTGTGAATATTGTTTTTGTAGGTCATTTTTTCCCAACATAACCCTCTGCTTATTATCTCAATTTGTATAAGATTCTTGTTTTATATTTTATTTTATTTGTTTATTATTGGTGGGGGTGTCAGATAGGGGAGTGGATGGAAATCAACATTGTGCAGTGGAATTAAAGCTGCATTGATGGGTCGAAACTACCAGCATAACCTCACAAATTAACTTCTCGTGTTTTGGCCCCAACCATCCCCCATCACACTTTATACCTTCCCTGCAGAAGGCAGGGTAAAAAGAGATTTTACTTTTCCCTCTCCGTTACCATACATAGTTTTTAACCAAGGCAACAATTTCAAAAATATCATCTCATTGTTCCCATACAATCACTTATTAACTGATAACGGGAAGCATGTCATGAACTCTGGCGTCCTACTCTTTGCCAATTAGGAATACCATTAGGACTGTGTGAGAATCATAATATTCTGTTCTACAAGTTACTAAGAAAATCATAGAATGGTGATCATCCAAGGGATGTATGAAGCTACACATAATATCAGAAGAAAAGCTGCACATATGAAACCAAGAACATAAAATGCTGATGAGCAGAGAGGGAACAAATACACGAGTTATGACAAGTCCATGAATGAAACTCCAGTAACATGTAAGCCCTAGGCCAATTTCCAAACTTGTACCAGCTGAACTGAGAAATGGAAGAACAGAGTAAGAGACCATTAAAAGGAGGCAGAAGTAAGAACCTTTTCCCTGGCTTCCCACCAGAACGAGAGAAAACAATCACATCAGCTCCAAGTCTCATGGTACTTGTCTTGAATCCATTTCCATCTATACAAAGCACAAAAATAACTTATACGCTGAAGTAGACATTATTGATAATCAGAACAACAGAACAGAAACTAACAATATCAAAAGCATTTCATATCAAAAGCATCTCAGTTAAAACTCACACTGCCCAATAGTATCAGCCATTTTGCTTTTCACAGAATATCCCAGAGACATGCAATGCCTCATTCGCTCAGGATCCATCCCACCACCATTATCTGTAGAAGAATGGGCAAGATAAATGACAGTTTTAAGAAGCATATGATACAATGAAGAGGGAAGTTTAGTGTCTTGATCAAAGAGAGAGAGGTTTAGTGCATATAAGAAATAAATATTTCAAACAATAACATTTTTAGGGTGGTTAGGAAAAGATTTAGCCAGCTTATTGCTCCTACTAATGAAGCATAGCCTATCCACAGTTTTATACCATCTAATAGGGAACTCCATGGTGGGGCATCGTGTTCTCCTGAGAACTAACATTGAGATTGCTTCTCCTCAAAATACACAGAACACAAATTGATGTCCTCTTTACTGGTTGTCTGATTCACAAGAATTAAAGAGAAGTGGAAGTACATAACCATTCTCCACTTCACCAATCCCAATAAAAGTTAAAAAGGAAAATGGAGGGAAGAAAAATAAAAGGAAGGAAAGGGTATAGAAGTTGATTGGTTGGGATAGTATAGAAGGTTTTCCTGAAGACAGCTTATCTGACATAAAAAAGACTGGCATTCTCATTTGTAGAGAACGCATAGTTCTAGCAACCATATAAAAAGCAAAAGAAATACCTTCAATCAGAAGCATTCTGCTCCCATCCTTTTTGTTTTTGACCATATCAATGTTCACATATGTTGCTCCATTGGACACCTTATCAAAGAGAGTGAACTTAAAACAGTATGTTAAGTGACAAGAAATAAATGAGAGTAGTAAGCCAAAAAGTATACCTCATCCAATGAATTGTCCAAAAGCTCAGCAAGAGCTGCAGGATTGGATACGATCAGAAAAGATGAAATCAAGAGGGAAAAAACTGTAAGGGTATGTAATAAACCCTACAAAAAATATGGTTAAGATCAAATGAGATAATTTACCTCCAAGTACCCACTTGTGACTTGTGGCATTGGAGTGTAGGAATTTGGGATGAACTCGGACATGATCTATACCACCTACAAGATTAAGAAAGTATGTTACTCTCACAGCTAAAATAATCCTCTTTACTACAAGAACCCAAAAAGGAATATATATAATATCCTTTCATTAGTATATATAACCAGAGATATTAATACTTCCAATAAGGTTAGTTAATAAATGGTCTTACTAGTATACAACTTTGAAACATTCTATTGACCGAATAAAGGAGAGAGATTTTCCACTTAAACTTGATTAACTTACCTAATTAACCAAAAATAAATAAATAACCATAGTTTCCCCATATCCAAAAAAATTGAGAAAATCTAATTCACCCACCCAATTAAGCTTACATAATAATCCACCAAAAATAACAGTCATTAAGGCTCCGAACTACTACTCCTAGCTTACACCATATTCCACAAGATTTAGACAATCCAAATCACCCACCAAATTTAAGGCACAATAATCCACCAAAGAAAAAATTACAAACTAACAATCATTAACGCTCTGAACTAACTCAGAGTTTCCCCCATATTCAACAAGATTTAGACAATCCAATTAACCCACCCTTTTTAAGCTTAGAGTAATCCACCAATATGTACAAAAAAAAAAAACAATTCATAGAAAAATTAAACGGAAAGGGCACATAATTGCTGGCATGCACAAATCAAAACCAACAAATTCAGCTAATTTTCTTAGTTCAAGTTGCTCGAGAAAAATAATACAAACCTGATTTTAGTCCTGAACTAGCAGAAGGAGACCCTTCATAATCTCCAGCCTTCCAAAACTGCTTGCAATTACTCCCCGAAACACTTAAATCCCTATTACTTCCATTAGGCGGAGCCGGTAACTGCAATGGAGGTTCCTTAGGCGGTGGCAAAGGATCCAAAAATCCCAAAGGCAATGCGAAGTTCACATCCTGTACACTCTTCCTCTTCTTCTTCGGCCTATTACTACCATTACCGGAAAGACTACCGGAATCGGAACCGGAATCGGAGTCGGAATCATCACTACTAGTTAGATCAATAAACACCGATTGAGGCGCCGGTGAAGATTTCTCCGGCGGCTTCTTCGTAAACCCTCTATTATCATCCAAAATTTCTTGCTTAATTACAATATTGGAATTCGCCATGCAAAAAGGAAAATTAGAGAGGACAAAGCAAGATTCAAAAGAATTTTGATGAAAAGGGTTTTCACGTACACGATGATATTATATGAACCGTCTGATTTTCTGGAGATCTGTTGCCGGTTTTTTGGCTGTGGTCCCTCTTTTTAATTAGCGTTAATGATGTTTTGTTTAGCATTTTGGCTCGGTTTCAAGACCGAACCTTTATAGATTTTGGCTGGGTTCAACACCGACCCTTCACTTGCTCTTGTGAGCAACAATTTTGATTCATCGAATTTAGTGGATTGTCTATTTAGTTTTTCCATGAACTAATACTTATACATTCATGTATGTATATTTTTTAGGTGATATGAAATTTTTTGAGATAACAATCTACTAATTTAACATTTATTATGGTGATTTTTGAAGTAATTTCTTAACCTATAAATATCATTCACCATTATAAGATACATTGAAATAATAAAATAATTTTCTCCCTTATCTATATATCTTGTCTTATTCTCTTTATAGTTATATGATGTGTTTAATTTTACAACAATTTTTTAATTATTAAGAAATATTATATTGTTATAATATTAAATTAATTTAATATGGTTTTATTTGGATATTTTATAGATGATAATTTTTTGTAACTAACTTGTTATATATCATATATTAGAATGGTATTATAGATGATAGATTCATTCTAACATTGTTTAGTCTTTTATGAATACATATTTATTATTTGTAGTAAATTTCAATTTTCACCATATAATATACATATCTTGGGCGTCTACTACTAAGTTCAGATTATGCAAGTAGATACACAAATAAAATATGAAGATAAATTGTGTATTTAACTGAATAAACGAATAAATAGTAGTAATGTATACGCTATATAAATGTATATTATAGTCAATACTTTAATACTATAAGAGATAAGTGTCAAAAACACAAATAAACTATTCCCTTTTAGAGTTTCATACCTAAACTCACTACTAAAAAACGACGGAAGTAAAAGCGACTGACGGCGTCGCTCCTAAAAGCGACGCCATTAGTCACACTATCCGTCGCTTTTTAATAAAAATAATTTTCATCGACAGACGGCATCGCTTAGTCCGTCGCTTTTTTCGCAGATTTTTGCGCCAAATATATATAATCAATAATTAATTATTTTATATAGATAGCGACGCAGTCCGTCCCTTTTTATTAAAAATAATTATTTATAAATTAAAAAAAAAGTCACACCGTCCGTTGTTTTTTATTAATTTTAATTGTTTAATTATTTTTTAAATAAGCGACGGACAACATCTTTATGCCCGTCGCTTCTTGGTCAAAATATATGGTCAAATATTTTAAGAAAGCGACGGACAGTGTCTCTTAGTCCGTCGCTCTTTGGTCAAAATGTTGGTCAAATATTTTTTTTAAAAAGCGACGGACATAGAGACGCTATCCGTCGCATTTTATTAAATATCTAAAAACAGATTTGCGATTTTCCCTCATTTCTCCATTTTTCCATTTGTGAAATCTCCTCCTTTTCTCCACTCCTCACCACCATCACTGCGTCGCTGATGCTGCCGGACTCGCCGCTCGCTAGCTGCCGCCACCTGCTTTTCCAGAGCTGCCGAACCAGACGCTGCCGCCGCCGCCTACCTCTCCTCTCTCTTCAATATCTCCTTCTCCTTTAAGGTTAGGGTTTAATAATGCATCAAAAAGAATTTCAAATTGAACTATATTTTGATTTTGTTAGCTATTTATTTGTAATTAGTTTATTGAATCTGTGTTTATTGATTATTAGTTTGAATTAGGATTATTAGTTAGTGAGTGAATTGAAAATTTTAATGTTAGGGTTAGTTTGAATTAGGGTATCTTAGGATTTGTTTGAATTTGGGTATTTTTTAAGTTAATTAGTTTTATTTTGGAATTGTAGGATTAGTTTGAATTTGGGTATTATTTGAGTTTGTATGATTTTCAAATTTTAGGACTAACTAGAGTTTGAATTATTATTGAGATTTTAGGACTAATAGTTTGAATTTGGGACACTATCTAGCTAGTTTGAATTTGAAATTTTAGGGATTTGAATTACAACTTAATTAGAACTTATAATTAATTATAACTTGAATTTACTATAAATTGAACTTAATTAGGAATATGAACTTGAAATGTTGTTGACTTTAATTTATTAGAACTTAATTTTTATTCTTATTAGAACTT